AAAAATCAAATTTAAAAATAATTAAAAATTACTAAAGAAAATAAGCAATGAAGGAAGAGTTGGATTGACCAATGAATAGTAAACAGGACAGGCAAAATGGGACAGAGGGAGTACTAATTACAATGCTCAAAGCTTAAGTTTGGTGTTAATTGCAATTAGTTAAGTTGTTGATTTTGCCTGCCAATCTTTGTTGATTTCAATGTTTTGCTAATTAGTTTGTTCTATGAACATGAGAATTTTACCAGGGATATTTGGTATCAAGCAATTTAACATATGTTTTATCTAATTAATGAGGGAATTAATTGTTCTAATGTAGCTTCTATTTTCGTTTCGTGGTTAATTTATTGGGTTTTTCTGCCTTTATGTTAGCTTGCATCTCCATTCAGTTTAAACCATGTTGATTGTCGTTTAGTTTAATCTATTCGTTATTATGCTTTCTGGTTTAATTTTGTTTTTTTTTTAACTTATTGTGTTTAATTGATCGTTATCTTTGGCATTTGGTTCTCGCATTTTAAATTATTTAAGTTATTTATTTACTATATAGAACTTAAATGCTGTCTGGTGCTCACCTGTCCCTTTTGCTTTGTCTCAGGTCCGGATGCACAACATGTGGTCCGAGTAAGGGATGACGGAAGTGAGTTTGGTGAGGATTTCTACACCCCGCCACGGGTCCTCGAGGATGTGGGGTATGAAGGGTCTATGCGTGATGTGCATGGACACGCGGACTGCCGGTTTCCCCTAATCAACACACGGGGGATGCCCAAGGAACTTGTGCGGGTAGTCGGTGAGCTAACACCACGGCAAAGGCAGGATGTCACTAGTATTGGAATGGGGGAGCCTTTTGGGGTTGCGCATCAAGGAGTTGTCACTACGCCTTGGCCATTGGCTCGTGTCTTGTTTTAACCCTTCTGAAATGAGATTGGAATTAGGCAATGGGAGATACATCAAGATTACCAAGGAGGACGTTGCAGCTGTGTTGGGGCTCCCAAATGGTACAATACCGATCGTAGAGCGCGACACCCAAGTTGTAGGTCCTGAACTGCAACAATGGAGGTCCGAGGTGAAGCAACAAAGAGGGAGGGTCACAATCAAGGCGTTGAGCACATTGCTTTTAGGTCTCAAAGATGGTGGGGTTTGGTTCAAACGACATTTTAGTGTCGTTGCTGTAAGCACCCTTATTTCAAGCTCCCCCAATGGATATGTAAACCAAAAGATTGTGCACGTGTTTAGCGATGTAACCAAGATTAAGGATCTGGATTTGGGCGGGTATCTTTTGCACTCATTAGTTACCACCCATGGTAGTTGGTCTGAAAACACCGCCCGCAAATTCACGGGACCATTGCTCTTTTTAACTGTAAGTGTGGATTTGTGTTTATAATTTATGGGGAAATGGGCTTGGTAATTATCGTTTGCTAATGTTTGGGTAATCTTGTTGGTGCAGCTCTTATATGTCGGTAGGGTGGTGGTCAATGCACGAGATGTGCCGAGGACAATCCCAGTGTTGGACGGGTGGACCACGGAGCAGATTAAAGCACGGGAGTGCTGGGAGGTTAGTGCAGGGGCGTTTGGCAACGGCCAGGTGGAAGCACCGCTGCGTGCATCGAGCATTCCAATGACCACGGGATCAGCTAGGACGATACCCCGGATATCCCAACCACAAGGGAAACGAGAGAGTAGTTTGCACTTTGTGACCCCGGTGTCTGCGTTGGCGCACAACATGGTATTATAGGAATATTTGTGCTATGTAGTTGTATTTTATGCTCGAAAGCATTTACTTGGTAGGTTGATTACACGTTTCCTGTAGGGATTTGATGAAGAGTTTGCAACCATGACTGGGGACTTACTCTCAGCTGCTTCGCGAGTGGTTGATATGGTACAACACCATCCTGATCTAGCCCGTGACCACAAAGATTTGGGTCGGGTCGCTGCTGCAGTGGATTTGTTGCTCGGGATCGTTCGGGAGCCCGCATGTAAAGAGGCACCTCAACCCCCTCCCTCGGCGTCGGCACACCACGAGGAGGCCATGTGGAATGATCCTGAATTCTTCAAGGAGTTGGACCGACTGGAGCTGGAAGCGATAGAGTCTATCGGGGGGTTCGATGCTCCTAGTTTTAGCCTAGGGGTGACACAAGACTTGGCTATGCAAAATCTGAGAAAAAACAGGCCGCTACCCTTGGATGTCGCCCCACCATCTCCCCAGGTTTGTGTTTAAACTTCCCCATTGGCGCGCTAGTATGTTTACTTATGCGTATGATGTAATTAATCCGGTGCTAGGTACCTCTCCAGATGCAGCAGATAGGGCCTGGGCTACAGCCATCCCCCCGATGTGTAGGCCCCACGAGGCGGGATGTGGCAGATCGGAAAGGGAAGGGCCCGTTCGTCCAGGGAGAGTATCAGTTTGGCAAGTTTTTTGGCACCAACATGGGTTACCCTACCATTCCGATTCCACCTGTATACGTCGTCTGGTTGTGGGTGTTTGCCTGCCCGCACGGTGACGGGTAAGTGGGTTTCTAGGATCTAAATACTCTTTGTTATCACGTTGTTTGGTAAGTGGGTCTTCATGTGTGGGTATAACTGGTGATATGAATTCAAGCTGTTGAAATTTGTCTACAACATATGCTTTACATTAAACCACCCAGTGCTTTGTGGCCATGTGTTGCTTTGCTGTGAATCTTGGACTCTGCATTCCTGCCCAAACTTGGAACCCCATTTTTAAAGCACAGAAGTATTTATTCACATTCACATAATGCACCACACAATCCCATATAAGTGTTGTATTAATTCACCGTTGAACCTGTCTGAAGACTAGTAGTTAATCCATCTATAACATCAACATTTTGGGTTATTTGTGTAGCAATGAGGTGCTGTTCCAACATATCATGCGAAAAGCTAAATGGGCAGATTTCAAAACTTTGAAGGAAAAGACAAACGTGGCGAAGACTATAGTGGATGCATGGTGCAGCGTGCTCAATTATAGAGAAAAAAACCAAGGGTGGAGGGGAACCTACCCGCATCTTTTTCACTACTAGTACCACGGCGAGTATCTAGAACCCTCTCGCATGGGCCCATTACTCTTCTATTACACCCCAATGAACTGCCTGTGTATAACACTATAACACATTCCTCATTGCAGATTGGCACCGTCGTGTCTATTTCCGCAAGCCAAGATGAGAGGGTAGCGTGATTTACAAGGCGACTAGATGAGGAACTCAAGTCTACACACCATGTAGGGATAGCAACTATAGATATGGTGAGCATTTATTAATTTTGAAATAATCTCACACAACGAAGTATATACTAAAAAAAACAAAAAAAAAAGATCAAGAACTAACACAGTCATATTATTGTTATCTAGTTTATTTTACCTATAATGCACAAGGGCCGGTACTACATGATGAGCATAAGTTTCAAGCACTCCAGGTTTGATATTATCGATAGCTTATCCACAAACAGAACGACCAAAGAGTTGTTTGCCGGAGCGCCACAGGAGTTGGTACGTGGCTGTGATAAAACCACAATGCAGTGACCTCCAATTAAATCTATGAAAATATATTTTACTATTCTTCTTGAATGTTGTGTGAGTAGTGGCTATTCTGTTGTTTATTGTGTTTAAGTTGGTAGTTATTGATTATGTTGTGGTAGTATATAGTATGTGCATGTTCATAATTAAAATAATTAGGTGCACTGGTACATACCATTACTTATGTGGAATAAACATAAATATAAATTGTTGGAACTAACTTACCAAATTGCTTTTGTGCAGATTGACCTATTAAGCGTGTACCTGGATAGTAAACAACAAACGCTGCGTGCATTCCGGCTAGAAAACATGAAGCCAAAAAGGATGCAGATGGCGTGGAGAGACACCATGTCTACCCTCGACTCGACGGTGTTTACAATGCGGCACATGGAGGCATACACTGGTCAAAGTTGTGCAAATTGGGACTGTGGATTGCAGCGGGGAAATAGCCTCCAACTACTCGAGCTACGGAAGCGTTTCATGCACAACATACTTTTGTCCGAAGTCAATGAACAGATGCAGGGTGTAGCCTCTCGCGTCGGGCAATATGATATCCAGAGGTTGGCACAACTCTAACAATGACTGCCAAACAGATTACACTGCGACCATTGCATCAGTAGTTAGTACAGATTTAATAATGATAGATTGGTGGAACGTCAGTAGTTAGTACAGATTTAATAATGATAGATTGGTGCATTTAGGTTTGGGCACCGACAAGTTAGTCGTGTGTGGGTGTTATTTAGATATGGTTTTTTTAATTATGAAACATATGGTTTTTTTTTTTAATCACAGTTCCACGGTTGCAAGCACCACATTACTTTGTTCTTCAGCATTTCTTTGGGGTAAAACCACATTACAAATTTTTTTGTTCAGTCCAAGATTTACGAGCCATGCCAATTGAATAAGGAATTAAGAGGGACTAACTTGTTAAAACAATTTGGACGTATGAGGCGTGTACCTGATTGTTAATACAGTTTTCATACTCAAAACTCGATGCATGCATACTAGATTAATTTAAAATATTCAATCATGGAGTAATGATGTTGCTGCTTTGTTAATACAGTTTTAATACTCAAAACTCAATGCATGCATACTAGATTAATTTAAAATATTAAATCATGGAGTAATGATGCTGCTGCTGTACGGGGTGGTAGCATTTACACAATGACCTTCACACGTTAGAAGCAAAGCTTTGCGTCTTGGTTTTGTACGGGTGGTAGCATTAAACACTATGAACTTCACACATTTGAGGCAAGGCACTACATTTTGGGAATACAGGCTATCGAATATCAAAATCAAACATGGGGGTAAATAAACACTACGCACACTGTGTTGCAACAATTATTGTCAAGCGAACAACGTTACCAACTCCAATTTCATTTGCTCGGTTGGGTCAAACATATGAAAGTAATTCTAAACCAATTTAACTAAAATGAAACAAACATTATTCATGAAGAAAGGGACCATGGGTTACAATTAACTAAACCATATTGCACCTGGAAGGACAACTACGAGCATTATGACGGGCGTACTCACCGCACAACCCACACTTTCGGCCAACTTTGCCACTGTTCTCTATGGCTATCTCCCGACTGCTTTTAAGACGCTTCCCACTGCCTTTGTTCTTAGCTTGGGCTGGGGCTTTAATGGTTATGTTTGTGGGTGGCTGCACCCCACATAATGTCTTGATCGCAGCACTATTACCATTTGTTGCCCCGGTGGTTGTACCATCACTCGCAAATTCCGCCCGCAGCTCTTTCAATACCTGCACCATCCGAGCTTGACGTGTCGTGCTCTCACCCACCAGCCCAGCACACGTGTTTATTTCAGACCACAATTCTGTTGCTCCTGATTTTGGGTGGTATTCTTTAGAACCTCGCCCTCTACAAGAATCGCAGCTCAGGTGTTTGCACCAACGATCCACAATGCACTGCGATGGTAACTGCTCTAGCTGTGCCCCCTTGAACACTAAGAACATATGCCTGCAAATCAACCCCATTCGTTCAAACATCTTGCAGCTGCAAAAAGTACTACACCCGTCCGGGGTGAAGTGTACGGTGTACGTGGTGGCGGAATCACCTGTGATGTCATAAAAGATGCCCCCACTATCCTTACGGATACCCACAACTTGGCAATAGAAACATGCAGCTTCAATCTCCTGCTGCATATCGTAAAAAATAGCGAGTGTGAACAATTGAGCGACCTCTCGCTCTAATGCCAAAGGAGTTTTAAACTCGGGCAAGTACCCTTCGCACTGAGCATCTAATTTAGCTTGCATGTGGCGCTGAGTTTCAAGGACGCTCTCGAACTGCATCTAAAACTGAACCAAACTAGAATGGGGGCGGGTGAACTTCCCATAAACACTGTCCTGTGCCTCAGACCGAGATGTGGTGCGTATGATGTTATCACATCTGTGCATGTTTTTATAGCTTTTCTGATTCATTTTAGAAACAAAGTTATTGAATCATGTCCATTTATTGCTTGTTTTCCTTGCTTTCTCGTTAGATTATGTTTTTACACTTGTTTTGAATGTCTTACGGTGTTCGGTAGTGTTTTTCTTCACCATTACAGGGTGAGCGTGAGAGCAAGGGGAGAATTTCAAGCATGAAATGATCAAAAGAGGAAGAAGTCGAAGCATCAGCAATTCGACGCGTCGAGCCCATGCCTCGACGCGTCGAAAATTTCCAGTAGCCTCAAACATCGCACAGGTTGGAGGCTCGACGCGTCGAGCAGATTTTCGACGCGTCGAGATCGCGGGCAGCTGTTGACTTAAAGGACTCTTAAATTGAAGCCATCAGGGTTCTACTATAAAGGGACCATCTTCTATCAACCCTAGTTTCTGTCTTCTTCTGCGATTTGGGTGTTTTGAAGGCAATCAAGAGCAAAGCACAAAGAGGACCAACTTGAAGATTTACAACTAGCTTTGGAATAGAGAACTAGCTAGAAAGATTCGGGAGAACTCTTTCACTCTTACTCTTATCCTCGTTGGTATTTGTTTATCTTTGAGCATTGAATTTACTGTTATTATGGCCATGAGTGGCTAGATTCCTTAGGGATTTTTGGGTGAATTTGTTTATGAACCTATGTGCCTTGTTCGTCAATTTCTTAATATGTTTATGTTTGGTTTTATGATTTGTGTTGCAGTCTTGTCTTAACCTGTTGTTGTTGGTAATTAAAGGCCTAAATTACTAGCTTCATAGTCAAATTTGTGTCACCAATGGGAATTGGGGCATAAATTAGGGCACACACGATTGCACCTAATAGTTAGACCTTGGGAAAGGGGAACTTATTAGGGGAAGTTAATTCCAGATTGTTACTCATCGGGAGATGGTAGTAATTAGGAATAATTGAATGCTGATCTTTGATCTTATTGGGTGTTCAAGCCATGGGAGTGGAAATTCACTAGGAATAGAGATTACGGGAGTAATTCGATTCCACTTTGCATTCCCACACAGATCTTAATTCCGAACCAGACATTACAAACGTTAATTGGCACTAGGTGATTAAACATTGTGATCCCAAGAATCCCATTTTGCTCTATTGTTTACGAAACCTTATTATTTGTTTAATTTCTTGCTCGCTATTTTATGCAACCAATCAACCATCAAGTTTCGATCAGACTAGCTCTTATAAGTAAGCAAGTAATTAGTATTTAGTACTCCATCTCCCTGTGGTTCGACAACCCGAATACTCCGGGTATTATTTGTTTGCCCCAAATTACAGTAATCAAATTGGCGCCGTTGCCGGGGAGGTGGCGCTACGTACTAATATTAGTGAAAGTTTTATTTTCGGAGACTAGTTGTTTTTAATTTCCTTTTCTTTTATTTTAATTCGTTTTTTTATTTTCGCTAATCGATAACGAGTTTCTTGTGTTGAGCTGTGTTTCTGTTATCAGCGGACTTGGTGTTATATGCGAACTCGCTCTTCAGGGAACGAAGGATTAGAACCTTTTAACCCAGAGATCGAAAAGCGAGCCAAGCTCTTAAGGAAACAGGTTAGGATGGCGAACAATGGGAATCAGAACAATCCGGCTCTCGGTGGAGAGGGAGTCAACCAACCACTACGCATTGGGAGGCCCATTTCAGATTACGTTGCTCCAGATGCAGCGGGACATGGAAGTATCAATGTGCCAGGGGTTGATGCTAATAATTTTGAGATAAAACCGGCTATAATTCAGATGGCTGCTTCGGATCCTTTTGGTGGGTCACCAACGGAAGACCCTAATGCTCACATTGCAAAATTTCTGAGGATTTGCAGCACTTTCAAAATTAACGGAGTCCCGGGAGATGCTATCAAGCTTCGCCTCTTTCCATTCACTGTAAGGGACAAAGCTAACAGTTGGCTTGCCTCTTATCCGGCGAATTACTTTGAAACTTGGGACCAGTTGCACAGAGAGTTCCTTAAGAGATTTTTTCCCATATCCAAGACTCAGAAAATGAGGAGATCTATTCAGAATTTCAGACAGTTAGCTGGTGAGTCGTTGGCAGAGTCATGGGAGAGATTCAAGGAGATGAGGATACAATGTCCTCATCACGGTATTCAGAATTGGGATTTAATGATGGCCTTCTATGAGGGACTACTGGACAATTCAAAAATCCTAGTCGATGCTTCATCGGGAGGATCATTTACAATCCTAGAGCCAGATCAAGCTGAAGAATTGTTGGAAAAGGTTGCGATGAATGGGACGACTTGGTATTCAGAGAGATCTCCCCAGAGGTTGATAGGAGGCGTGTCTGAAGTTGATCAGATATCCGCTCTATCGGCTAAGTTCGACAATGTGGCCACTTTAGTTCAGCAGTTGGCTCAGATTACTATCAAGAATCAAGCTTCGGGTTATGATTTTAAAGCTCCTACGCCTTCAAGACCTGTACTGATGTGTGAGTTGTGTGGAGGAGAGCACAATTCAGAGGAGTGTCTCAGTGTTGATTCTCAAGCTACAATGGAGCAAGTTGATGTGGTAGGGTATGGTGGTGTTCAACCGGCATACCAGCAACGAGGAACCTACAATCCGAATGCATCGAGGAATCATCCTGGTTTCTCTTGGGGTAATCCAGCTGGGGCGGCTAATCCCCAGTACTTAAACAATAGAAGTCAACCACCAGGATTTCAGGGGCAGCAAAATTTTAGAGGAAATCATCAACCGCAATTCAGGCAGAACCAAGGATATCAGGTTCCAGTAAATCAGTCCAAGCCTAATGCGGAAGCACCAGTCCAGTCGAATATGGAATTATTATTGGAAAAACTGGTTAAAGGTCAGCTGGAGGTTACAGAGAGGTTGGATCGGATGGACACTCGCCAAAATATGTTTGAAAATCAGCTAGCGAATCAACCATCTATATCAAGTACTAAAGTCACTGGTAAGTTGCCAGCTATGCCCGAACAACCAAGAGAACACATGAACGCTGTCACCACTAAGAGTGGGAAGCAATTATTGGACCCACCGTATCCAAATGGGGAACACGAGGTCAGGAAGAATCTAGGGGTTGAAAATGAGAAAGTGAATGAGGGTGTTATTGCTCAAGATAAGGAGGATGAGATACAAGAAATTGAACCCGCAAAGAAGCATACACCACCTCTACCCTTCCCACAAAAATTCCAGAAATCTAGGGAAGAGGAAAGAAGAGCAAACTTCTACAGTTTGATCAAGCAACTGGACATCACCATTCCTTTTATTGATGCTGTGACCGAGATTCCCTCGTATGCTAAGTTCTTGAAAGAGATTTTATCCAACAAGAGGAGAGCTGAGAATCGTGAGACAGTGGCAGTAAGTGAAGAATGTAGTGCTTTAATTCAAAACAAGCTTCCTCCAAAACTTAGGGATCCAGGGAGTTTCTCTATCCCTTGTGTTATCGGAGGATCACTTGTTCAAAAGGCTTTATGCGACTTAGGGGCAAGTGTGAGTTTGATGCCTTATTCTTTGTGCCAAAAGCTGCAACTTGGAGAGCCAAAGCCTACATCCATAACTCTTCAGTTGGCAGACAGATCAGTGAAATATCCTATCGGAATTCTGGAGGATGTGCCAGTGAAGATTGACAAATTTTACATTCCGGGAGACTTCGTGGTTTTAGAGATGGAAGAAGATGCTAAAATTCCTATTATCCTTGGGAGGCCATTCTTGGCAACCGCTGGAGCTATAATCAATGTCAAAAAAGGAACTTTAGTTCTTGAGATTGGAGAAGATAAAGTTGAATTTAATGTTTTTGAATTGGCTAACAAATCATCTTGTCTTGATTCTTGCTTCTATGTAGACGAAATCGACTCATGTGTTGCGACTTATGAGAGGGGTAAATGGATCTCCAATGACCCTTTATAGCTCGAAGGTGAAAATTCCACAAGGAATGAAGGCTTGGAGGACGGTACGAATGATGAGGAATCACAGGAATTGCCACTAGCATTCCTTGCCCGTAACCCTGAGGAAAAGGAACCACCACAGGTAGAATTAAAACCTTTACCAACAAACTTGAGGTATGCTTATCTTGGTCCAAATTCTACGTACCCAGTAATTGTAAGTGCGCATTTGAAAGATGATGAAATGGAAAAGTTATTAAACGTGTTAAGAAAACATAAGAGAATCATTGGATACACTATTGATGATATTGTTGGAATTAGTGCTTCCTACTGCATGCACAGGATTAATTTAGAGGATGGGCGTAGACCCAGTGTTGAGCACCAGCGTAGGTTAAACCCTACGATGCAGGAGGTTGTGAAGAAAGAGATCCTAAAATTGTTGAAGGCTGGCATCATTTATCCTGTTCCTGACAGTAAGTGGGTCAGCCCTATTCACGTGGTCCCAAAGAAAGGGGGGACAACTGTAGTCCGCAATGAGAAAAATGAGCTCATTCCTACCAGGTTAGTCACTGGTTGGAGGATGTGTACGGACTACAGAAAGTTGAACGATGCCACCAGGAAGGATCATTTTCCTCTTCCATTTGTTGATCAGTTGATTGAAAGGATGGCTAAGTACTCTTACTTTTGCTTTCTTGATGGTTTTTCGGGGTTCTTTCAGATCCCAATCCACCCTGATAACCAAGAGATGACTACGTTTACATGCCCTTATGGCACCTTTGCATATCGAAGGATGCCATTTGGGTTATGTAATGCACCAGCTACATTTCAAAGGTGCATGTTAGCCATTTTTTCCGATTTAGTTGAGAAGACTATGGAAGTTTTCATGGATGATTTTTCTGTCTATGGTTCTTCGTTTGATAATTGTCTAGATAATTTGGATGAGGCATTAGGAAAGTGTCAAGAAGCAAACCTTGTTCTTAATTGGGAAAAATGTCACTTCATGGTACAACAAGGGATTGTTCTTGGACACAAGATATCAGAAAAGGGCATTGAAGTTGACCCGGCCAAGGTGGAAGTCATAGAGAAACTGCCACCACCGGTTTCGGTAAAGGGAATAAGGAGTTTCCTTGGCCATGCAGGGTTCTACCGGAGATTTATCAAAGATTTTTCAAAAATCTCTAAACCTTTAACTCAATTGCTTTTAAAAGATGCTAACTTTGTTTTTTATGATGCTTGCCTTGAAGCTTTCTGCAGATTGAAGAAGGCATTGACAACAGCTCCCATAATGTCACCGCCAGATTGGAACTTACCTTTTGAGATTATGTGCGATGCTAGTGACTACGTTGTGGGGGCCGTCCTTTGTCAAAAGAAGGGCAAGTGCCTACACCCAATTTACTATGCAAGCCGTACTCTGGATGCGGCTCAGGTTAATTATGCCACAACAGAAAAGGAGATGCTGGCTGTGGTTTTTGCTGTTGATAAGTTTCGGTCCTACCTAAACGGGTACAAGGTCATTGTCCATACCGATCACTCAGCATTGAAGTACTTGATGAGCAAAAAGGAATCCAAGCCAAGACTGATGAGATGGACCCTTCTGCTTCAAGAGTTTGACCTGGAGATCTTAGACAAGAAGGGAACGGAAAATCTTGTAGCTGATCATTTTTCCCGATTAGAGAACCAAAACGAAGTGGCTGAAGGAGAGGAGGTTCCAATCAATGAGTACTCCGTGGGAGAGCAACTGATGGCTCTTCGTGCTTTTATGCCCTGGTATTCAGATTTGGTAAATTATGTGGTTTGTCAACAATTTCCACCAAATGCTTCTAGGTCATTGAAGAAGAAATTACAAACTGATGCAAAATTCTATCTTTGGGATGAACCGTTTCTATACAAGAGATGTGCAGACGGAATATTAAGAAGATGCTTGCCCGAGGACGAGGTAGAAAGTGTCTTAAAGCATTGTCATTCATCGCCTTATGGAGGGCATTTTGGTCCTTCTCGAACCGCGCAAAAGGTTTTACAGTCAGGATTTTATTGGCCCAGTATATTCAAAGATTCACATTCTTTCGTATCTCGTTGTGATAAGTGCCAAAGAGTAGGCACAGTGGGAAGGAGAAACGAGATGCCTCAACACAGTATTCTTGAAGTGGAACTATTTGATGTCTGGGGTTTGGATTTCATGGGTCCATTCCCCAAGTCTTTTGGTAATGAATACATCTCAGTGGCAGTAGACTATGTCTCCAAATGGGTTGAAGCCATTGCTTGTCCTACTAATGATTCCAAGGTTGTTATTAAGTTCATCAAGAAGAATATTTTTGCAAGGTTTGGGGTACCAAGAGCTTTGATCACTGATAATGGGACACATTTTTGCAACAGAGCGTTGGGGAAAGTTCTTGAGAAGTATGGAATTCATCACAGATTCTCCACACCATATCATCCCCAAGCCAATGGTCAAGTGGAACTGTCAAACCGAGAAATCAAATCCATTCTTGAGAAAGTGGTCAATCCATCTCGAAAAGATTGATCCGCGAAGCTTGATGATGCATTGTGGGCATATAGGACCGCTTTCAAGAATCCTATTGGAACTTCACCTTTCAGACTTGTTTATGGGAAACCTTGTCATTTGCCCGTGGAGTTAGAACACAAAACCCATTGGGCAGTCACGACGCTCAACATGGATTTGCAACTCGCAGGTGAGAAGAGGCTGCATCAACTAAACGAACTTGATGAATTCAGGCTCGAAGCCTATGACAATGCGAAAATCTACAAGGAGAAGACCAAGAGGTGGCATGACAAGCACATTCTAAAGAGAGAATTTGTTCCAGGAGACGACGTCCTTCTATTCAATTCAAGGATGAAATTATTCCCAGGAAAATTAAAATCCAAGTGGACTGGGCCACACAAAGTGATTAAGGTACATCCGTCGGGTGCCGTGGTGCTTCAAGGAACACAAGATGAATTCACGGTCAATGGGCAAAGGTTAAAGCACTACTATTCACCCGAGGAACCTAGGGTCAATGTGATACATTGTCTTCATCTCCCGACCTACATGTGACACCTGAAAGGAGGTACAGTCGAGCTAGCGACGTTAAACTTAGCGCTCCATGGGAGGCACCCCATGTTATCTTTTAATTTATCGCATTTTTATTTCTTGCTAATTATTTCGTTCTAGTTCGTTTACAAAATTTGAGTGTTTTTTCTGGTTTCTGTGGCAAACAGCAGTATAGGGGTTGTTTTCGACTAAGTAAAAAAGGCCAAAAATCGACTTAGGTGGGAAAATTCCATACTGGAATTCTTCGACGCGTCGAGCCCAAGGCTCGACGCGTCGAGCTCCCACTGATTTGATGAAATTGCCTACTGGAAATTTTCGACGCGTCGAGCCCAGTTCTCGACGCGTCGAAACCAACGTGCCTCGAAAATTTGCCTACTGGAAATTTTCGACGCGTCGAGCCCATGCCTCGATGCGTCGAAACCATCGCGTCTCGAAAATTTCCCTACTGGAAATTTTCGACGCGTCGAGACGCGACAGAACAGATGGGTTAAATCGCGACCAGCGGTCCATTTTTCTCCCCAAACTCATAATTTTCTCTCAATCTCCCACTCGCCCAAGATACCCCAGGTCCGAACCCTCTGGTTCTCCTCTCCATTCACTTCCTAAACCTACAAGGTAGCAACAATCACTCTTTTCTACTTTTAATTTCTTGATTTGGTGGTGCATTTTTGCTCTATTCTTGGGTAGGAGCCCTACCCGCGAATTTTTCCCCTGATTTTGAATTTTTAGTAGATAAATTGCCCATTGTTGATTACTAAAGATTGATTGTTGCTATATACATGTTGTAATTGTTGCATTAGAAACCATTGCACTCACATTTTGATCCTATTTTCTAGGTTTCTTCGTTGGTTGTTTAAGCTAAATTCCACTTTGTTTTGATAATTTTAATTTCTTATTTTAGTCTAGGATGGTTGTAGACCTTACTGCTGATGATAGGTATCCTTGTTTTGATGTGTGGTGATCTTGTGGGATGAATTTGATATGTCAATTTTACATAAAACTAGTGTTAAAGTTCATGCCCACAAGGTGTTTGATTAAATGCCCAAGTGAAGTTTGTGCCCTTGATTGAAAACTTTGAAATCCTTGCACGCACTTTTGATATTCTGGCTATAAATTCTTGATCAGGTACTTGAAAGTTTTGTTTTATTATTGAGTCTTGTAGGTTTTTCCTATGGCACCAAGAGCCCGTCAACCGTCCAAACGGCCAAGAGCCGAATCTTCGCAGGTCCGGGAACAACCACAACGTGCTGCACAATATGAACGTTTTGTAACAGACGCAGCGGCTCAACGGTACCATCAGTTGATATCTGCCCGGCCCGTTCTGAAAGAACGTGGCGCACATATAGTGGTCCCGGAAGCGTGGAATTGGGCGCCCCGATTCCTTGCTCAACCAGGAGATGCATTTACCAATTTGGTGAGGGAATTCTATGCGAATGCAAAGGATGGCCTCGAAACGAATGTTTGTATTGTCCGGGGCGTTCCGGTCGACTTCTCGGCGGAGGCCATTAATGCGTACTACGGTACGCGTAATTACATGGGCGATGATTACTTTAATCGAGATATGCGTCGTGGCCACATGGACCAAGAGTTGCTGAACCGTATTGCACAATTCTTTCACCCGAGGGCCGAATGGAATATCAGGGGGGGTGTAGCCTCCCACATGGACTACAAGTATTTTCAGACTGCTGACAGGGGAATCTTGGACTTCATCAAAGCGAGGCTTGTCCTAAATTCTCACAAGGGGACTGTCCGAAAGGACTTAGTGCTCCTTACCTACTGCATCCGGCAACACAAGACTATTGACATTGGCCATATCATCAACGGCAATATCCGCGAAGCTGCCGATGCGAAGGGTCGATTCTACCTCGGCCACTCCTACCTCATTACGCATCTTTGCCAGCTGGCTGGGGTTCCTATTGATGAATCCCAGGAGGTCAGGTTAGCTCCACAAGCCTTCATATCCGAGCATTACCTAG